CTATACTATTACTAGTATATATATATATGTGTGTGTGTGTGTGTGTGTGTGTGTGTGTGTGTGTGTGTGTGTGTGTGTGTATAGGGCTTGTTTTTGGAAATTTTTATATTAGTAACTGATTTTGTTTGTGTGGTGACTTATAATACATTTCCAAATGGCAATGTAAAGAATGTAAGGTAAGATCATAAACACACCATATGTTGTTTAATTTGCAAAATAATAGTTTTATATAATATGAAAACGTTTTGATATGTTTAATGTATCTATAATGTGAGTCAAGACACAACACAATACTGTTGAATTTTGTGTGAACTAATAAAAAAATATGCCTACCTTACAGGATCTTGTGGCATGTAATAACTGTCGTTCTTCTTCTTTAGACTTTTCAAGAGACTGCAATAGCTCCATATGTTGGCGTTGCCGTTCCTGCTCAAGTAGCATTTCCTGCTGTTTCCTGGCTTGTAGACTCAGAGCTAAAGCATCAATTTTACTTCCTATCCTGCCTCTACCCCTGACCCTGCTTTTACCTCTTCCTCGCCCACGACCATTTGGACTAGGCATTCGAGGGCTTGACTGACCTCGGTTGTTTGGAGAGTTTCTAGGTGAACCCCTGCTACAGCGAGTAGGAGATCTGCCACGGGGTGTAGAATGATAGTTCACTGAGGAGGTTAGACTTAATGGCAGAGAACTAGAACTGAGATCCATGGGGGCTGAGGGTGATCCAAGAGATTCTGGACTTGAAGGTGTAAGGTTTGTAGGAGTGCTACCAGCATGTGTTGGTGTGGGTTTAACTCTAAGATCAAGTGTTCCAGAGCTAGCTGAAACTCTAGGTGCTGAGCTTTGGTGAGCTGGAGGAGGACCACTGGTAGAAGCAGTTGAAGTAACACCTGTAGATGTCACAGTTGAGGAGCCCTCATCAGATGTACTATGATCTTCCCGTAATGGTGTCCTTAGTAAAGAGGGTGGAGGAGGAGGAGGAGCCAGAAATTGGTGTTGCAGTTGTTGATGAAGCTGTTGTTGTTGAAGACTGTGGGACACCAGAGCACGTAGCTTTGCTAAAATCAGGGATAGAAATAATGCAATGAAATTACATTCACTCGAGGGAAAACTATCAGGAAGATTACATTCTCTGATGAATTTTTTTTCATTTAATCCATGCAATATGTTCACTTTCACTGGTCATAACTAAAGGAATACGGATGGCCCAGGCATTCCTGATTGAGAAAGCCAACTAAAAAGATGAAATTCCTCAAGCAAAGTTAAATTCCTCAGGAATGAGGGAATGTAAAATATGTAATATTTTAGTCCCTGAAAATTAAGAGTAATCATGTAGAAAGTTTTGTCTTAATGAACAATAATAAGAATAGCTGCTATAATGACAACTTAAAGTCAACATTTTTCTAATCTGAAAAGATATTTCTAATAGCTACCTCCACATGTAGAAATGCCATCTTCCTTTGCATGCCACTAGCCTGAAAGTAACTCCCATCTAAGTACATGTGTTTAATTAAACTGCACTGGTGCATGACATCATCATGCAATAAAAGCCCACCACCAATAAGAGAGCAACACAACCTCCATGTACAGTAACTCCCCATATGCATTTACACTCAGAATAACTTCATTCCCAGACAAGGCAAGAAAAAACAAAGGTGCACCAGAAGCAAAGAGGTTGGATGGAAATGTATGAGGCAGTGAGTATCTAAGTATTTATTGGAAATAAATTTTCAGATTAGGATAATGTTAACTTCTGACATAAACTCACCTCCACACAAAGAAATGCTAGAATACGATGTTGAAATGATGGAGGGTCTGATGCAAAAAAATTCAAAACCTAGATGAGCACCCTTCAAAAAACACCTAGAAGGAAAACCAAAGGAGTGTGACAATTGATGGTAGGGGTTCCACAGGGCACACCCATGGGAGACTGCATTTTGTCTCAACCAGGATACACTCTTTGCCTAGAATGAGGAGGAGGAAGAAGTAGATGAGCTCCAAAACAAATAGAACAGGCAAAATGAGAACATGACCATCCAAGCACTTCCATACAAGTAGCTGGCAAACCAGTATGTGTAGTGTGTTTGGGGTGCAGTCAGACCTAACAATGAGTTCTCACCCTGAGTCTACTGAACAGGAGTTGCCACTTCTCACTGTATTGTGCTAAGCCCAACTGGTGAGGATTCTTTATGGTTACAACCAATGCAGCAAGGAACTGTTAAGTTGCAAGAGTTTCCTGTGCTCCACTCAAAGAAAAAGGGGGAGAATTTGCATGGGGGAGATCTAGAGAAGTCCATGGATCCCCATTGTACCACAAGCCGGAAAGATCTTTTACTAGTGACAGTGCAGTAGGTGACCATGAATCCCTATTTTTAAAAGTTGGCAAGTACAAACCAAAGAAGTAGGTAGACACTTCCTTGGTGTTGGCTTTTTCCAAGGTATCTGACACATCGCAACAGCAGACTGGGTGAAAAAAAAAGAAAAAAAAGACATGGTTGGAGAAGAAAAGGAAATGGGAAAGGAGCAAAGAGAAGTGGGAAGAAAATGACAAATGACTGTTGGCAGAAAATGAGACCAATTGCTGGAAAAGAGGAAGAGAGTGGTACCCACAGGGATGGATGTGACAGGATATTCATTGAAAAGAAGAGAAATAACCAGACATTAGGTAGTGATAGGACCAAAAAAAAAGACCTGAAACATTAATGGGAACATAAGAGGTAGACTGAAACAGGTGAGGAAAAGGAGTCAAAGGGCAACGATGAGAAAGATTAGGACTGAAGTCATACAATTTCAGTCCAATCTCCAGTGAGAAAAGAATACCACTGAAGTTGTCCAAGCAATGAAACTGATAAAGACCATAAACACAAGGAAGAGGAAAGTGTACAATAAAGAGAAATGCAACTTGACCCAAAGATCCCAACAGCAGGAGAACAAAGAAAGGAGGAACAGAACATAAGTGGAAAAGGCTAATCTGGCAAAGAAAAGGAAATAAATGTTTACAGAAAATTCTTCTGGAGCATGATGAAGTGCCTCGAATAAAAAATGGAGATATGAAAGTGATGAGAAATGGATGAATACATGAAAATAGGGAACCAGAAAATGTAACAGAATGCAAGAGGCCTGATCTCCAAGCTGGTCATATAGATACCAAAGACAGGGAATCTAGAAAGGAAAGTAAAAATGTTGCAAGTCAGGACAAAAGTCACATATGCAAGGGGGACAAATCAGTAGGGCATAAATGATGAGCTGTTAGAGAAATAACAAAAATCCTAATAACAAACAAAATATAAACCCCCAAGAATTAGGTTACATGGAGTGCAGAATGGGTAATATTAACTCTTTGGTTACTGGTCCTTAACCCAATACTCTCC